ATCAGGTAGCATTTGAACCTTAAAACCAAAGTCCTAAATTCAATTTTATTTACCAATAAAAAGTGTCGCGTACCCAGCGCAGCGGACACGGGGTGTTGAGCACTGGAGATCGGGAAGTGTCAACCACAGTGTAGAAATCAACAGCACAAGTTGACTCAACAGCATGTAATTTGAACACCAACTCGTCTTAATATTTGTTCACATGCGGTGAAAACTAAAAGGGGAAATTACAACGTACAAGATAAAAAATGGGCTAAGACTAATTACAAAAGGAGCAAAATTGATAGGAAAACGAAAACTAAATACAACAGGCTGAAACTTACGTCTGATCCTGTCCATGGGTAATAGAAAGACTCAGTCTTTCTATTATCCCTGTCCTGTCTAAAGGGCTAAAGAAACTCCAACGTTACGTAACTCCGAAAAAGATAAAACTACTTTGAAAACTCCAATGTTCCTCCGTCGATCTCCTAACTCCAGCTCCGCAAAAACTCAAGGGGCGTTCTCTAATAAGGGTACAATTCATATGTACAGTTGTAAAACCGGTTAAAAACAGGAATGGCTGGCTACGTAATTGATTCAAACTGTGAACAATAGTACATGAAAATAGGCGCCAAAACTCGATAAATGAAACAAAACAGAACCGTATCTTTCTTTAAAATCAAAACAAAACTAAGCTTAATTATGTAATCAAGTTCTCTTTGATTGAATGTTCACTACAAAAAGGTTATGCAAAATAGGTTACATCCAAGATGATAAATGTTCTCTATGCAAAACGGATTCGGAATCCCCTTACCGCACCTTTTCGAATGCCGACACACCAAGCAGTTTTGGAAGGAATTTTAATATTACTTTTACTCATTAACTGAGAAACTCACAAAACCTTGAACACCAGAAATATTTATGGAATGTTATTGTGTTGTTAGGAAATAGCCAATAAGGCATAAGAAAACTAAACCGCAAACAGCAGTGGTAATTAGTTTGTAGTTTTGAGGTTTGCTCTCGTGTCCTGAATGCTATTGTGATTGGTCACTACACAATCAACATTCCTGAAATCTTTCATGTGTTCACAGTTTTCTGAGTTTTACAGAAGGTACCCTGTTCGCTGTTGTTCCCGAGGCAAGAATTTCGCTCCGGTGCGAAATCTCGCAACGGTATCAAGTAAACGCGAAACGACCATAAGTTTCGGTGTGAAATCGGTCTGCCGGTAGCCTGGAACGGGTAGCGCATGCGAAATGTTTGCGATTTTGAATCACACATGTATTTTATCAACATGAAGTGTACTTTCAAGTAACGAGATATGAAATGACCCAGTCATCAGGTAAACGCGATACGAAATCAAAAAGTCATCGCGGTATGAAACTCTTTCGCCGGAACGAGTTTTCTCATGCAAACGTACACCCCCTAAGATTGAGCAGGTTGCCTTGAGTGCTCGCCTGAAGAGAGAGGATAGAGTAATGCTTTCGTGTTTTAATTCCACAACGTCTTTTAGAAAAACTCGTGAAGTCTTGCTTGATTGATACCTTAACGATAATTGGAAGAAAAATTTGTGTTGCTGGCTATGACCCCAGTTTCTCTAAAAAAAAAACCCGAATTTCTTCGAGGGAAACTTGAGGGTAATCAGCTATTTGTTGCAAGATTTTTCCCCTTTCCGTTGTTCTTGCTTTTAAATGATATGATTCTGTCATGAGAACTTCCCTTACAAAGGCGAGATTTTGATGTTTAGACCGCTCCATCGCTGAACTGAAAGTGAACAAAATAAAATAAAGTTAGTAAATGAACCATGGCGCCTTGTTCAAGATCTCAATTTTCTCCGACGTGTGCAAGTTTATTAAAGGATTTTTGTTTTCCAACAATTTCTGTTCTTCTCGTCTCTTAAATTTTTCAAATACTATCCTAAAGTGAGAACGTTGTCCCCTTAAAAATAAGCAGTTATAGTGTTATGATTTGTGTCGAAACTGACTCGGCGCTTTCATTCTCAGTTGCCGCCAAAAAACTGCACCCAAAGGGCTTGAAAGGAAAAAAAAAAGAGAGTCAATATTGAGAGAACACCACACTAAAAACACTAAAATGTCTCTCTTGAAGTAAAATGGATCGAAAATCCTGTACGAAAAGCAATTTCTGCACTGAAAACAAGAAAACCAACTCACCGTTAACGAGGCGGCCAAACTTCTACTTTTCAGAGGCCCTGCCGGGGGGAGGGGGGATCCAATATCGCTCGTCTGAATTTTAAAACGTCTCGTGTCGGTGTTTATAAATGCTTCACGTTGCTTTCGGAAATTGGACGAAAATTGTTTGCCTTTGTCGGAATTTTAGAAAAGGGGGATAGCGATGCGTTGTAAAGAAACCACTACAGTTGTGCAATTTCTCAGTTAACATTTCGCGTATCGAACAGCTATACATCGCCACAATTAAGGGTGTGTTCCTTTCGGTGAATCCAAAAAACGGAATTAAGATCTTAAAACGGATTTCGCGATCCTTTCGGCAAATTAATCCAAACTCGGATTTTTGCTCTTGTGAATCCTTTTTGAAAAAGGATTCATTGGATTTGAAATCCGGAGAATCCGATTCCAGATTAACTGATTAGTGATGTACGCTGTTCCATTCACAGTTGATTCTAAGTTAGTCATATGATCCTGCTATATTTCCAGTTGAAGTATTCCCGTAGAGTTTCCTCGTTGCTGTCATTTGCCGTAAAACATCTGAAAACACTGGAAGATTGTTCCTGGTACAGCAAAATATCCATGTGCGTACCATTTGCCGCTAAAGATTGCTTAAAAACACAAATAATTAAAAGGGACAATAATTAACTGATATCTTTCTACAAACTCGCTTGCAGGCGTCATAGGCACTCGATCGTGTTACATAAAAAACCGAGCTACGAAACTGGATCAAACTGAGCCGTTAACCTTTAGATAATTTTCAACTTCAACGTGCTTCTTTCTTGATCTGTTTATGTTCCATCGTCGTTATTCGAACTGCCGACCACAGAATTCTGCACGGTATAATAGCATAATTTGTCAAACAGTAGAAAACATGTCATTTCTTGAGAGGCTGTCATGAGTATTGCACGCGTTTGCGAAAGGTTACCAAGGTCACAAATCCAATTTCGGATTTCACGTTCATTACGACCGCGAAATCCGGCAAATCTCAGTCAGAGATCGGTTTTTGGATTCAGTTAACGGAACACAATCAACACACCCTAAGTGATCCACGTTCAATATTTTAAGACTAACTGACTTGATAAATCATGAAGGCCGGTTAACGGTGGTCTACTCTGTGAGAGCGGTTGGAAGGTCGGTGGTTAGGTTACCTGGTCCCTGGTCTCTCCACCATCGTCACCGTCCTACAGAGGTCGACAAGGATGTCAGAAGTTCAGGAACAAGCAAAGCATTCACCATTTTCACATAGACCGTAAAACTTTAACTCCCCAAAACTTTGCGTAACCATTGTTTTCGATTTCTCTTATTAGGACTACTGTAATACCCTGGAGAATTTGGAAACAATGGTTATGCAAAATTCCGAGGGGGAAAACAAGGTGCATTATGGTGTATGTGAAAGTAGTAATTAGAAGAGATGTAAAGCGTGCGTAAAATTAAGCTATCTGACGGACAACCTAGTTCCCACGTCCCCCGGGAGTCGTGCGGTGCTGCGTAAGTGAAGACCACTCGACCGGCCAAAGCGACGCGCGCTCAGGAGGGTCCACTGAAACTCACTGACGAGAGACAATCTCTGAAGCGCAAGGAAAATTGACGAAAATTTTTTCTTCTTGCATTCACACTGGTGATAAATTAGCCAAACCACCGTTCTTTGTCGCATATTCTCGGCTTTGCCGTCGATGTCACAATTTGGCCCAGGGAGGTTGTCGCTTGTCGCGATTTCATTTTAGGCTCTGTCGCTACTTTTTGGGTCATGTCGATTGTCGGAATTTACCCTGGCGGGGCCTCTTTTCACCGTTGCGACTTCAGGTGGACGCTGTGGCATTCTGCTAGTTAGTTCCAAGAACTGAATATTTCACTTCTCGATGACGTCCTCCTCGGCCGCGTCCAGAGTATCTTAACGCAAGTCGTTATTACAGAAATATTATATAAAAATTGCCCTTTGCTGAATTATTTGAAACTGATCGATTAACTATACTAATGGGACTGTAGAAGAAATCAGACTCTTCCAGGTATCACGTACTGAATTTTTATCCAAGGTTAAAAATAAGTATGAAACAGAAAAGTTTATATGGGTTTTAAACGAATAAAATGGACAAATTTAATACGAAGTGGGCTCTACCTGTGGACTCCGTACCCTAGTAACGTGTGTACTCCGAACGTATGTTTTTTGTATAGCTACTTTAGTGTTGATTAAAGTTTATAGTGTAATTTAATGTATCGTATTTAGTAATGTATTGTAATGCAATGTTATGCAATGCCATGTAACATTAGTATTGTAACGCTGTGGAGTATTTAATAAGAGTTTGAAATAAAAAATAAATAAACAAATAAATAAAAGTAAAGGCCTCTAGCAAGAAAGAATAATGTCTCTTACTTATATTATAACAATATTCATAGTAAAATAATAATAATAAATTTTTTTCGCACAAAGAACGGGAATATACTGATTTACTATAGTATATGGTTTATGTAAATTTTGCGATCCACGAGAATGTCAAATCTGTTTTTACCACATATATGATGATATATTTATTTCGCGGCACCTAGGGAATTTCAAAAAGTCGGAAAAGAAAATTACTATTGAAACGTTCGGTTTCTACTACCTGGTTAGAAATATTTTCAGTTTCTCACGAATCCCGAATCATGAATCCCAATAAAAAAAACGCCCTGTAAGGTTATATCAGTTCTTACACCAGATTCCTAATCAAGGAAAGTTTACTGCCACTGGTTATAGTTTTTAAAACCCATTCGTTTATTGTCAAATTGTAAAAATTGTACGTCTGCGAACAGTACTGAGTAATTGCATTGGGTCTAAATTAACTGCCTTCATCGACAGCAAGGATGCCAGGATTCCAAATATCAAGCACTGACAAGCAGAAAATTGCAGAAAAATACTTTTGCCTTTATTGCCTTTTACTGTTAAGAGATGCGATGCAAACAAGCTGCGGTCATTTCTACTGCCAGTCCTGCTTGGAGAAACTATTCACGTAAGTTTTTACATGTACTACGATTAATTTGAAATAATTTTTTAAAAAAGTAAACTGCTCGCTTGAATCATTGACAACCAATATACAATTCCCCATTTTCACATAGACCATAATGCACCTTGTTAGCCCTGCAAAATTTTGCTTAATTATTGTCTTAGATTTCTCTTGGAACGACTGTAATACCCAGGAGAAATTGGAAACAATGGTTATGCAAAATTCTGGGGGGTGAACAAGGTGCATTATGGTCTATGTGAAAATGGTGAATTAATGTCTTTTATATTTTGCGATTTCCAGCATAACAGATCGGATCCTACATTTTTTCTTAGGGATGTGAATGAAATGGTTATGATCTGTCTACAGGACCAGCAACGCCTTCTGTCAAATGAAGTACGTAATACTTGTCGTGAAGTATTTTCTAGGTTGTTTTGAAGATTTCAGGTCATGGGGTATTTAGCTGATTTCATGTTCGTGCTTGAAGTTTCACTTGTACCTAGAGTCTCGTTATGACCAGATTTCCAGGTCAAGGTTAATCCGTATTTGCGTCGACAGGTTTTTTAATGTCAAATTAAGTGTCATTTATAGTTTAATTACGTTTGAGTGTCAGTCCTTGAAGTGGGCGCAGGGTTGTAGCTGACCTTGATGATTGCCCACATCAAAGTTCCTGTTGTGGTTTACGTATATATAGAGGCTTTCTAATTGGTTGTCTTGCATTTGACATGATTACCTCGAAGGTTTGTTTTCACTCATTTTGGTGATCAACAGTTTTTCAGTTTGGTCTAAAAATTAGAGGGGGCCCGGCCTCCCCTGGATTAGCCACTGTGATGTGATAAAGAAATTACGTCCCAAATTTACCCTTATGAAACGATTAAAGTAAAAATGACTTACTTTGTCTTCGCGTTTGGCGAGTTTGAACTAAAAGTCAAGAGTAATCCATAAATATCAGCAAAACGGCTTCGAGATGGCTTAAGACACCAATAGATCGAAAGTAAAAAACACAGCACAAACGCATATTCCATATATTCTATATAATCGTCTCGATTGCCTCAAAGACCAGAGGCGCGCGGTCGTCAGCGATGATTCTGGGTCGGACAATGGAATTTTTGCGCGTATTTCTCAAATAAGCCAAGCATAATGGTGAATTTTAATCGGAGAGCGAACCTGGTGGCTTGCTATTTACTTAGTTTTCTCTCAGTTTTGCGGCGCAGACAAGCTAGAAGAGTCCCACGAAGATGTACTTATTACGTCGAGAACTTGATGGAACGGGCTTTCCACATATGATCGTCCGGATCGTCCCAATCATCCCAGTCGTCTCAAACACGGGACGATCATATGGATACACTACCCGGATGATCGCAAACGACCCGGACGACTGAGAGGACCTGGATGGCTTTGATAGAACTGAGTGGACGCCGCTGAAGTCGAAAAAAAAAAAAAATAATACAACTGCAAAAATGTTGGCACCAAAATTCAAGTTCAGTGACCTTGATATAGTCTGGGCTACCGGTGAAATTTATCATCATAACGAGGCTAATGATCATCGTTGCTTTTTAAGATTCTCGCGTTGATGAAATTATCGGCTGTCGGCAGGAATACTACAATTGAATAACAAAGCTAATACGAAATAAATTATGGCACACGTGATCAAACGACGTCATCGTTGAAATGGTCAATTCCGGCGATACAACTTTGGATACCACTTTTACAATTGCTTGCAGGTTTTTCCTGATAATTTTATGCGTCGAGAAGTACTTACCCTGGTTGTGCACTGTACATTCATGGAGGATGGGTGTGCTTGGAAAGGAGAAGTGAGACACCTGGAGGTACTTATTTATAATAGACCCTTTCACGGTTAATTTTCATCTTTTGACATGGTTCCGTCATCAGTAGTGGATATTCCGTCGAAAGTGCTGTAAAGAGAGCTTAAAAAATAGTAAAATTGAGCAACTTTGAGGAGCTAATCTTTTCGCTACCTGTAGACGTATTACTTTTAAACTTGTCAAGTTTACGAATTTTAGGGTGCTCCTTCAGCGGTGTTGATGATTTTTCTTTAAATGATCTTTATGAAAACTTGAAAAAAAAAAGGTGAAATCGTCTATTACATATCAAAATAAAACAATTTGGAACTATGGGCGGAAATAACATGATTGCGAGGGCTTAATTAACGGGTGCATGTATTGGTAAGAGAAAATTGAAAAATATATTCTTTCAGTTTTGTTACTGTTTGTACAGTTCTTTGCGCAAATAGTAGAATGTCCCATTGAGTTGGACCTAAAATCCGAAGAACCCACATGGGGTCAAACAACAAACGAATATAGGAAAACACATTTTGGAGTTACTGAAAAATGGAGTACCAAATTGGAAAAGGTGTTGGATGGAAGCGCCAAGCGCTGTAAAAAAGTGATTGAGGTAGAAAAATTTCCCCTGATTAATTACAGGAAAATTCAAGAAATTTTGTGATCTATCGTCAAGAGGTTCAAAGTCACTCAAAGCTAGCGCCAATACTTAAACTTAATGTGTCACCCGTATACAAGTATTCTTTCTTCCTCAAAACGTTTCTTATCTTACGGTAGAAGATAGACGGAAAAGTTGTTTTCTTTTCTAATCTATAGAGCCACACTTCTGGTTGTGAGTTCCTTAAAGTTCCATGTGTAAATCCTGAGTGTGGCACGCTGGTGAAGAAAGCTGATCTCAAACAACATTTAGAAAACTATTGCATGTACCGGCCTCAAACATGTGGATTCTGTGCGAGGGAAATTGCTTTGATAAATTTAAAGGTATCCAGCATTTTATTCTGCTATATCAAGAGCCAGTTGGCCATTTTAGTCCACAACCGTCCTTTATAGAATTAATGTTATTTAAGCTTAATGAGAGAAATAATCCCAGCAGTTCTCTAAAAAAACTTTTGCCTCCAGAATATTTTCATCCGAAAATGATCTTGAGTGATCATCTCTTTTTATCTCAGTGTGTAATTACAGTCTCAAACACGTACAAGCTTTGACCAAATGGTACACTGAGCTAAGAAGTATGAGTTGTACCTTAAATTCCTTTTTCAGCAACATCAAGAGACAGAGTGTCCTTTATATCCAGTTGTCTGTAACAAATGCAGTAAAGATGGCATCCCTAGAGAAAAGGTGAGTGGAAATTTTCTTGACGGTAAATTATTAGGGCGTTGCCGGGGTAAACGAATTCCACTCAAGTTATTTTTAGAGGTTGTAATTAAACGTATCTAATTCCTGGGATGTCCGCAAATTTTAATCGGTTGTTTGAAACGTCATCAAGTACACTGTGGACTGCTTGGAAGCTAAACGTAATGTCACTGTAATGCTGATTGTTGAACTCTCTCTTAAAAACATTCAATTAAGTCTGCGAACCTCTCCGGAAACAACTCCCATTAATTCAAGCGTTTATCTAAAAAACAACTTTGGTGAAATTCACATATATTAAGGACTATACTGAGTGTTTCCCTCTCTGTTCCATTATCCTCTCTTGATTATCAGACTCAGGAGCCGTAATCTGGGTAGGAGATTGTAACATAAAATATCAGCAAGGTCACAGCGACAAACTGTTGAGCGGTACCGTATCTCTCAGTAGACCTGCATCAGTACAATAATAACTTTTAGAAAATCATAAAACGGCAAACTGATCTTTACGCCAGGGCGATGAAGAAGTGAACCAAAGAATAAAACAAAATATATATATATTTAAACAAATTTGCCCAATATTTCGGTTTGAATACAAACTTTCTTCAGGGGCTAAAAGGAAAATGAAGATGTTTGTTTCTCTTTTCGCTTCTTCATCGCCCTGCCTTAAGGATCAGTTTGCCGCTTTATGATTTTCTAGTAAACCGTAACTGGATACCTTGTCCGGTAATTGGATTGGTTCCATCAAAATATTCAAAAGTGCTATCACAAATTGTGCCATCTCGTGTGACTAGCGCACGCATTTTTTGCGAGGGCGCCGTGAAAAGGATAAACAAGCAAAATGGCGTCAGAAATTTTCTCCGCAGGAGAAAAATAAATTCAATTTATATCATCATTCCCAACCACTTTGACAATAACTCTGAGTATGAGGACCGCGAATGTACTTCTGATCATGTTACCGTGGTGAGAGTGTTTTTGACTAATCCAGTTAGGAAGAGATTTTGTTGATGTCGTGCGATGAATATCCCGCATAGGACCAAACAAACTTGAGGGGAAAATAAGGGCGGCAAGTCAACAACAACAACTACAACAAAATTTATGTGTGATTTTCCTCAAATATATCTTTTTGAATTCATGATAAATACAGCTCCACCAGCTTCAAACAGAGTCTACCGGCAGAATTTCATAGGAAAATACTTTTTAAAAATATAATAGTTTTCCCTCTTAACGTCCTACTTGGCAGCGTGGCGCAGTGGTCTAGGAGCCGACCTTCCGTGCAGATGGTCCAGGTTCGCCTCATGGCTTAGCTATTTCTTTTCTTTTTCTTTTTTTTTAGTGTTGGTTTGTTTCTGTTTTAATCATATTTTTTCCCCTTTGGCTTGTTTCCCTTTTTCTATTCTTGCTGCTGCGATAGACGTATTTCTAGTAATGTTTATAAAATATTGGCTCATTCTTCCACTGTGTATGCATGGCGCAAACAACACAGGAGCCTTACGTCAAATCCTTTCAATATAAAGTTTTAAATTCAATACTTTACACTAATGCAAAACTTTTTAAAATTGGATATCTCCAGCATGACAAATGTACTTTTTGCAAGACTGAACAGGAAACATTATGTCACTTTCTATTTTACTGTCAGCACTCAAATATGTTGTGGAAAAATGTTGAACAGTATTATTTAACAATAACAAAGGAATTTCACGGGTTGTGTTTACGAGAGGTTATAATTGGAATAACGATGTCAAAATGCCCCTTGTTAAATTATCTGATATTAATTGGTAAATTGTATTTATGGGATTGCAGAAAGAAACAGGTACTTCCAAACATCGAAGGTTTCAAATTTAAAGTAAGAATTAAATACCAAGTTGAAAAATATATTTCCACTAAGAATAATAAATTAGAAACCTTTTATGAAAAATGGCCAAAAGACATTTCTCCCCTTTAATTAAGTTCGTGAGTATGTAATTAAAAATGTAATCTTTTATTAGACACTTTTTTTTGTATTTTTGTATTTTTGTATATTTTTTTTTGTATGTGTGGTTATGTTTTTGTTTTTTTATTTCAGAGCGTACTGTAAATATTAAGTGTTAATCTCTCTTTATCTACATAATTAAGTATTAATTAATTCTTTGTAAAATAAGCCTCATTCGGCAATTGCGCGGCTGTTTTGTGGCTGTAATGTATATAATTGTGAAATGTAGATAATTGTAAGTATGTCTGTTATTGCGGTTGTTTAGAACTTTGTAATTATCGTCTTTTTAAGTAGTTCTTTGTAATTATAGTAATAAATGTCTTGGAAAAAAAAAAAAAATGCATGGCGCAAATTGTATATTGAGATATCAACCCCTTGAACAGTCAAGGAAGCTCTCAAATAAAGTCGCCGGACTATCGCCCATCTCCTGAAATTCCACACGAGAGCCTCGCAAATTAAATTTGCGGGTTCCCGCTCGAGTTTGTGACGTTGAGGGTGGCGCAGTTTGTTCTAAAAATAGCACATTTGGCTATTTCGATGGAGCCGCGTGGACCTCCTACCCTGATTATGGTTCCTGTCAGAATAGTTCTTTTGCTATATGCTGGAGGACAAATTGAACTTAGATCAAAAGTATTCGGGCTGCTGTGTTTGAAAAAATTTCGAAAATCTATTCCCACATTCATGAACGGACATGAGTCCTCTTACTTTATGAAACATTTGTTAGTTGGCAGATCATCAGAATCCTGTTTTGGGAGATTGTGACGGAGTAGAAAGTCCATGCCCTTTTTCACAGATTGGGTGCACTAAAACAGAGGTAAGATACATCATATTTATTTACTCTTTTGTTCCTGTGGTTTTTGCCGGCAGAGAAGCCAGAGTAGCCTGTATCACAGACTAAACTAAACTCTGGTTAAGTCCGTCTGCGTAACAGCGCCGAAATCCTTGTTCTGGGTTCCCAGCTGTGTACCAGGATTTGAGTACGCGCCATGATTGGCCTTTTAAAAAATCAATTGTCGATTTGCCAATCAGGATGAAAGGAAATTCGAAACGCACTTCTGGTAATTCATTGAGTCCGTTGGGAGCCCAGAACAAAGATATCTGTAATGCTTCGCAGACGTTTAAAACCGAGGTTAAATTACGTCTGCGACGCTAACAAATGTAGTAAAGGTGCTCCCTCATTAACGGCAAAAACTTGTGAGAGCGATAGACCTTTTGTTATGAACTTTATAACCATACACATAGTCTCCGAAAGCAAATGCATTTATGTATTTCTAGCTGTCGCAAATCAATTCCTCCTCCGCCAACTTTGAACTTTGGTTGACAAAGGAATTTTTGTTAGCCCGCGAATACAGTATGTCTCAACGCGTCTTGCCTTCCCTAGGAAAGTCTTCTCTCCTGCGAAAGGTCCTGAGGGGCGAGTGTTCAGCTGAGTGGTGTTGGGAGACGGATGTATTCACAGGCTAGGAAATTTTTCCATTGTAAGGAAATCCATAAGCTGATGATGACGTTGCTGTCTCTCGATCAGTTTGAATTATCTCTTTCATGTTCAAGGGCATCCTGTCTTTTGCTACTAAGAAATTTGGTGCATGTAAAAGTTTTGAATTAGTAAGTTCCATTTCGATTATTTGAAAGGTCCTCAGCCAAAGGCAAAAGAAAGAGCATCTACAACAAGAACATGCACACCACACCCTTCTGCTCTTACGCACTGCACTTGGATTGGGCAAGGACATAGAGGCCATTTTTAGGCGTGATCCAAGAATATTGTCCGGAAATTCTCCATTTCTCTCAAACTACGATAATTTAATTCAGGACATCCTCAATCAGATTCAGTATAACAAAGAGGAAACCAGGAATTTGCATGGAAGGATTCAAGAACACAGCCAGCGAATAACCGCTTTAGAGAGGAAGATGGCCTCTGCGAATATATCGGTTGGAGCGTCATCTTGCCAACTCCTTACTAATTCTGAAGGTAGCTTTACCCATAACGATATAACCAGAAGACTAACTAATGTTGAACACAAAACCGCAGACCACGAAGTGCTCTTGGTGGAAAGTAATCGCACTATAATGGAGACGAGCAGGGGAGTAAACAATGTTAAAAGACAGTTGGAGGGTGTCCAAGAGACTGCAAGGAGGACAGAAAGACGCGTGGAGTCTATTGAACACACGTTAGCTTTAAGAAATGTCACACTAGCTGATTTAGAAGAGTACATTAGGCAACAAGAATTTTCCAGCTACGACG